CCCCAGGCCCGGCTCCGCCTTCCCTCCAGCCCCGCCCCCAGCAGCCCAGGCCAGCCAGAGAAAAATAAATTTCAAAAGCCACCTGGACCCTAGCCTTAAACTCAGAGGCAGCAGGGTAGGAGAAAGGGCACCGGGTCGGCCTAGCCCCAACTTGCTGGGTAACCTTGCATGAGTCTCTGCCCCCTCAGGCCTCAGCTCCCACCTCTAAGACAGGTCCCAAGCTAAACAGTAATAACTTCATAAAAGCCAACGCCTATTCAGCCCGAAAGGAGCGAGCCACTATTCTTAGCATACTCTGCACGTATTATGACTCATTTAACCCTCACAGTTACCCTCTGAGGCAGAGATCATCAGTTATCTCCGTTTTACAGCTGTGGAAACTGAGGCACAGGGCAGAAAAGTACCCTGTTCCAGGTCACACCTGCTTAAACAGCAGAGCCAGGATTTGAACCCAGGCAGTCTGGTTCCGGAGCCCACGCTCTAAATTGCTACATCCGCTTGCCTTTTACGCTATTACTCACGCCGATGGACTGAACGCCTACTGTCTGCTAAACACGGCACCAGGCACTTTCCTCATCCTATCTTACTACCTCGACACAACTCGAAGTAAGAGTTGCTATTTCCACCAGGGGTCTCTGAGACTTAGAAGTCAGGTGCATTCCCAAGAGTACACAGCTAGTGGCTGGTGGATCAGGGTTTGCACTAAACCCCGACCACCAGGCTGCTGCCCCAGGCGCTCTCTGCTCCATCAAGCTTTGCAGGACTGTAGTTATGAGCTACAGGCCTTAGTTCATAAAGCTGGTGTCAAAACAATGAAGCCCAGCCAATCCCCGGCCTCCTTCCCGAGGCTTCACCCTCCCTGTAAATCTCTGTCCCTCACCTCAGAGCAGGTGCTGGGGGTCTGCACGTCCTTTGGCTCGGATCCAGCTCCCCGCCTCGCACTGCCAGCACCAGGTGGCGGCGAAGCCAGGAGGTCATCCAGCCATCGGGAACTGCTTCCGGGGCCCACTGGCTCTGGGGAGGCCCTGCAGGGTTCTTGAGCCTCTGTCCTGGGCTGGGTGGCCTCAGCCTGGGCCAGAGTCACTGCCTCCTCCTCTGTAGGCAACACCCGCCCAGGGTGAGGGGTGTCGACAAAGAGGACACAGGGCTGGTCAGGGGGTACCGGCTGCTGCTGCCCCAGAACAGGCTCCAGGATGGGCAGGGCTGCCTCCCTGGTGGCTGGAGGGAGGGGCAGCTCCTGTCCGGCCAGGGGCTCCCGCTCCTCGTACCTCTCCTCGGCCTGCAGCAGGGGAGCGGACCTAAGTGGGCCCCCCACTGTAGACAGGGGCTTGAGGGCACCAGCTGGGGACGCAGGGTGACTCACCCAGTCACCCTGTTGGGTTGGGGAGATTCCGGGATCATCGCCCCGCAGCTGGGAACTCGGCCTTCCCAGGCCCTGTGGAAGTGCCCGCTCTCCTTGCCCCTGCTCAGACACGCCTTCCTCCTCTACGGACACAGCGCAGTCGCGGGCCTCAGCGGCCTCCGCTGCCTCAGTGGCTTCTGTGATCGGGGACGGGGGCGGGGAGTCCAGACGAAACGTGCCCAGCCCTGAGGGCCTCGCGGGGAAGGTCCACTCAAATGACTGTGACAGGCTCCAGTTGGACTCTGTGCCACTCCCAAAGGGCTGATCCAGGGCTGCCTGGTTCCCCTGGGCTTGGGGCAGGGCAGCCAGTGAGCCCCCTAGCTTCTCCTGGTCCTGGCCAGGCGACCGGAGGACACCTTCAGAGAAGCGGCGCTGAGCCAGGCTGGCGGGCCGGAGGTCTGAGTGACGCTTGGCCTCCACCTCCTCCTTGTCGGATGCAAACGTCTGCATGAGGTCCAGGAACTCACCCCCTTCGATCAGAGGTCGGGGTGAGGTGGCCAGCGGCTGCTCCGGGCTGTGGCACCCCGAGCCCTTCTCCAGGGGAGGGCTGCTGGGCCTCGGGGCCTCTGGGGCTCCCTCGGGAAGGAGCCCCAGGTCAGGAAGGTGGCAGGAGCCCTCATCCAGCAGGGCTGGATTTGGGGATGCCAGAGTTACCAGGGGGCAGGCAGAAGCCCTGGAAGCTGCAGGGCTCTGGGCTTCTGGAAGCTGAGAGGGGCAGGAAGGGCTCTGATCAGGTGACGGATGACAGGGAGACTCGGGCACAAGGCCTGAGGCATCCACAGCGAGGCCAGGGCTTGCACAGCCTCTATTCCCTGAGGCTGAGCCTAGACTTGACGGGACCCAGGGCTCAGAAACCTGCAAGAGAAAGGTGAAAAGCCATTACCCTCCTTGCAGCTTGGCCAGGGAGGCCCCCCAGCCCCAGAGACACCCTAGGTCAGCCGCCTTCTCACACTCTGACCTTACAGACCAGGAGGAGGAAACCACAGCTCAGAAGGAGGCCTCTAGGGGACCAGGCCTTTCGGGACACTGGGAGAAGCTCCAAAGATGGACTAGAGCAGGGGTTCTCACACTTCTCAGTGACCAGCTGCCACCAAGTGGATTCTAAGTCACGAGGACCCCATGAGCGTCAGAGCAGGACTGTGCTCCACAGGGTTCCAATGGATGACTTTTCACAAGCAAGTCACCAGGTCTTTCTCCCGACACAGCTCAAGGTGGATTCAAACTGTCAACCTTTTGGTTAGTACCCTAGTGCATAACTGTGGGCACTACCCAGGGACTCCACTCAGGGTCACAGGCCCGTCTATTGGGCCTTCTCCCTAGAACATACACATAACCTTGTTCACATTTAAAAAAAACTCACAGCCACTGAGTTGATTCTGACTCACAGCGACCCCTTTGGTTTTCCAAAGTAGTAAATCTTTATGGAAGTAGATTGCCATCTTCCTTCTGTGGAGTGGCTGGTCGGTTTGAACCACCAACCTTCCGGTTAGCAGTCAAATGTCATAGGCACTATGCCATCAGAGCGCCTTAGTCACATTCATACCATTTCAGGCAGTTCAAAACCACACCAACCCCTGCAACCCAGAGCTCATCCACAGATCTAAGAGTCTATGGCTCACAGTCAACACCTGCTTTAGGGAAAGGAAAATGGGGAACGTGACCATCTGGGCATCATGGGAATGAGGGGAGGGGGCAGGTTACCACAGAGCAGGACTCTAAGCCCAGAGCCTCTCCAGGCCAGCTCCCAGGAACAGTTATGGGGGGAGGGGGGAGTTCCCCACCCCACTCTGTGCATCCCCAGCCACCAGCACTTCCCGAGGAAGCAGGAAGGCCTTGGGGTGCAGAGCCCACTGTGCATGGGGAATGAAGGGGCCTGGAGTCACCCAGCACTGCAAACTGCATGCGCCCCTGTATGGAGGTCACTCGGTCTCTCTGAGCCTCAGCTTGCCCATCTATAAACTGGGGCCAGTGGTAACAATGTGCACCTGACAGAGCCAGGGAAGGATTAAACAGGATGTGTGCACATGGTCTCATAGCACAGGACTAATCAGAAAGAGTGGATGCAGTAGAAGGAGGGGGGCTGGGGGTGAGGAGAGCCAGGGAGCGGAAGGGGGCAGAGGAGGCACCAGGCACCTGGTATCCCATGACCACTCCACTGCCACTGTGCCCAGACAATGAAAAGTCTTGCTTCATATGCCCTTTGCCCTCCCCAGGGGTCACACGTCCCTTGCTGTCCTCTCCAGAAGGACTGTGTCTTCTCCATCACCATCCCGAGGCTCAAGGAAGGGGAAGTGGTCCTGCTTGCTCCTCAAGGCCCCTTCCGTACCCTCCATGCTCTCCTCCCTAAACACAAACTCTAGTTTTGAAGCTCATGCCCTCCACCAATCCCACCACAGCCCTCTGTGTGGCAGTACGGGGCAGATCCGGGTCATTACCCTGCCTTCCTTACAAAGTTTGGCCCCTGACTCACTGCACCTGCCCCACCACCATTGTGGACGTTGTTAGCTACTGTTGAGTCAGCCTGCAAGTCACGGCAACCCCAGGACAACAGAGCAAAGTGCTCTGTGATCCTGCGCCATCCCCCCGATCAGCAGAGGCCCACAATGCTGTGACCCCCAGGGTTTTCACCGACTGATTTCTGGAAGCAGAACACCAGGTCTTCCTCCCTAGTCCTTCCTAGTCTGTCTTTGTCTGGGAGGTCTATCGAAACCTGTTCCGTATCACGGCAACACCAAAGCCTCCACCGACGGATGAACCATCCCCGGGTGGAAATCCAGCCCTGTTCTCTCTGCATGGAATCCCCAACACTACTCCTGTTATAATTCTTAGGGATTTCAACAGTCACACAGGTGACCTTCCAACACCCTGGCTCTCTGGTCCTTGTCCTTCTCTCCTCCAGTGTTGTGTGCCCCACCCTCTCCAGGGTCGTACCCCAGACCTTGTCCTTATCAATAACAGCAACCCATCCAAAAATCTCAATTTTAAGTTTCCCACTCGCTCACTTCACCTCTTATCTGTCCAGCTCACTCAATTTCCCCAACGTGCTCAATTCTCAGGCCCTCTGGGCACAGTCCATGAATCTGACTTCCTTGTCACTGTACTCACTCCCCTCTTCTCTCTTTTTACCATCATTAAAGTCTTTTTTTTACACACCCCTCAACTCCCTTGTTCCCTCCTCCATTCTGTTTAACCTGTTTCTGCACAGCTCTCCACTAACCCTACACCAGTGCCCAAGCCCCTGGACGTGACTAGAGAAGCACACACCATGAAGCTGGTCTCATTTCCAATCTACGACCACGGGCCTCACACGGGCCCAAGAGCAGCCCAGCAACCCTACTACATCCCCAGCCTTCCATTCACTCGCCCATTTTCCCAGACAACAACTGCATCTTCTCTCCCGGAACCTCCAACACCTCCTCTCCGTCCTCTCTCCCTGATGACAGCCTTGCTTCCTGTGGCCTGAGAACAAGGAAGCCATCAGCAGGGAACACCTGCTACCTTGCCCCTCCACGTCCCTGCTACCAGCATGTGTGCCATGCACTCTGCCACCCTTTACAATTACAAATGAACAGTCCTTTCTCATAGCCAAGGTTACCTCCTCCTCTCGCCACATCATCAATTGTTCCCTCCCTACTAGATCATTTCCACCAGCAAACTTCTCTCATTTCTCCTTGTCTTTAAAAGAAATAAACAAAAATAAAACACTATCTTGGCCCCACACTCCAGCTACTGCTCACTCTCTAGAAAGATTTGCCTACACCACTGTCTACAGTTCCTCTGTCCCAGCCTCTCTTGAACCCACTCCAAAAAGGCTTTCCTCTACCTCACCACATAAACTACTCTCGCCAAGGTTGCCGATGACATGCACACAGCTAAATCCAATTCTCCGTGCTCACCTTACTTGACCTGTCAGCAGGACTGGACATGATGGCTATGTCCTCCTCAATACGCTGCCTGCATTTGCCCCCCAGGACTTGACCGGCCAGCTTTCCTCCGACCTCCTTCCCAGTGCCCAGGCTCCTCTGCCGGCTCTTTCTGTTCTGCCCACTCTCTTAGCCCAGGAGTGCCCAAGAGCTGAGTCCTTGCTCCTCTTCCCGCCCCCTGGATCTTCACCTACACCCGTGGTGATCTCAGCCAGTGGTAAAGCTTTAACAAGCACCTGTGGTGGGGAAGGAGTCAGTCACCGGGTGGCGCGAATGGTTAACACTCCTGGCTGCTAACCGAAGAGTTGGCAGGTCGAGTCACCCAGAGCACCTCAGAAGAAAGGCCTGGTAATCAATTTCCAAACGAATCTGCCACCTTATGGAATTCTCATGGAATTCAGACTTTATGGAGGCACTGAGGCTGGATGAACCCCAAGATAACCTTTAAACCTTACATCAAAAATATGCCCCGAAAACTTCTGTAAACCAAACAATAAACCAAAAACCCAAGCCCACTGCTATCCAATCAATTCTAACCCATAGCGATTCTGACTTTATGGGACAGACAACTGACCCACAGGATTTCCAAGGCTGTCAGTCTTTACAGCAGCAGACTACCACATCTTTCTCCCATAGATCAGCTAGTAGGTTTGAAGTGCCAGCCTTTAGCTGGCATTCGAGTGCTTCAACCACTGCATCACCAGGGCTCCTTTAACCAAACAACAGTGAAGAATGTCTTGCCCCGAACACTGTGTTCTTTTAAAAGTTATCTATATGGGATCAAATCGATGATAACTCAGAAGCTTAAACGGGAACAGGGCAGGTAACCAGTAAGCGAGAGAAGCCCGGGCTCACTGGTGGTGATTTACTAGTCTAAGCACCGTACCACCAGGGCTCCTTCACTAATCTGTCCCGAAGAGCTTCATGTAGGTTTCACCACATCTTTCATTAGTAAGTAACCACAAGGCAGCCCGTGCTTACTTTGCTTACTGGGTACTCCATCCCCGTCAGGACTGTAAACTTGAAAAGAGGCTTTGATTCTATAGGAAGGTGCTGTAGGGTTCGAAAACACATGCCAGCCATATCCAGAAATAAAATATTTGATGTGGTGAAAAAACATGAAATTGTTCACTACAGATCTTCAAGTTACGCCCATGCGTACCGTGCTTGTTAGGTAATCAGACACTGAATAGGAAACTTAGGAGGCAGTGAGTTGACATAAATGACGGAGGAACAATTCGGACAAGGAGGGAGAGAATGGCTGCGTAACTTGAAGAGCGGAATCAATGTCGCTGAATTGAACGTACGGAAATCACTGAATGTCTATGTCCTGCTGTGTATGTTGTCAACAACAGCAACAAGATAAGTAAAGTTAAAAAAAGAACAAGAAGCCATCAGATGGCAGTATATAAAAATCTTCTGAAAAATAAAACCCGATGGAGCATAGTTCTGTTTCACATACACAGGGTCACCGTGAGTCAGAACTGGCCCAGCAGCGACTGGTACTTGCAGCGAGGAGACAAGGAGATGATGAAGACTCTGACGACCACAGTTCTCCTCTCCAGCTCGCTCCCATCCCCTGAACTCCAGGCCCGCACTTCCAACTGCCCACTCGATATGTCTGTCATCTTAGACATCAAAAAGGCATCTCAAACTCAGCAACTCCAAAAGCAAGCTGCTTATATCATCCCCATCTTCCCCTCGCCCTGAGAATTCCCTCTCTCAATAAACAGCAACTTCATCCTTCCGGTTGCTCAGGCCAAAAGCCATGGAATCATCCCTGATTCCACGCTTTCTCTCCCCCTACATCGAGCTAACTGCAAACCCGGCCCTCTCCACCTTCAAAATATAGTCAAAATCAACCATTTCTCACCAGCTCCAACGTAGGTGACCTCCAGGGTCCAAGTGGCCATCATCTCCCATCTTAACTACTCCAGCCACCTCTTAACTGGTCCCTGCCACTGCTGCTCCTACTACCCTTCGGTTAGCAGGCAAGATGACACTATAAAACCAAGTCAGCTCATGTCTGTCCTCCCCTCCAGACCCCCTGGTGGCTTCTTTCCCTCACTCAAGCCAAAGTCCTTACCGCAGCCTGCAAGGCTTGATGCAATCCCACCCAGTTCCCTCTGCATCACCACCTTCTATCCATTTCCTCCTCTCTCACTGTGACCCTGGCTTCCTTGCCAAGATGACACCAAGGCCTTTGCACATGCTGGTCCCTCTGCCAAGAATGCTGCTCCCCAAACATCCACATGGCTCACTTCCTGGACTTCTTCGAATGTCACTTGTCAGGGAGACCTCCCCACGTACCCTCATCCCAGCACTCCACCTCTTCAGTCTTCCCGCAGCATTCGTCTACACACCACATACTGGATGGTTTATACGGATGCCAGCGTTTGTGTCTACCCATCAGAAGGTAAGCTTCCTAAGGGCAGGGATGGTGCTGTTTCCTCAGCCACCAGCTCAGAGCAGGCGCTCAGTAAACATTGTCAGATGGAGTCAAGTCTCCATCGCAGGGCAACAGGACAGCCACTAGCTGGCAAGGGCTCTGGAGGAAGAAGGGCCACCTGAAAAGCAAGCTGACCACCCCCGAGCACTCGGGTATACTGTGGTGTGGGGACAGGGATCAGGAAACCCCCAAAACAGAGCTCTTCCTGAATCAGAACCTGGAGAAGGCAGCACAGCCAGGGAGCACAGGGTTCCAGACAGTTCCGGTCCCACCTCAGCCCCTTCCTACATGGGTGACCCTGAATCAAAACGTAAGCTCCATGAGCCTTGGTGTCCTCATCCTCATTCTCATGTGGAACTAGCAGGACTAGTTAAGGTTAGTTATGGTGACTTTCCAGAGTCACCCTAAGGGCTGGGTCAGTTAATGTCCTGGGACATCCCTAGCACACAGAAGGTGCTTCCTGACTGGTGGTTGTTAAGGTAACTACACCCATTTGTCTGTCTGCCATACTGTGGGACTTGCGTGTTGCTCAGATGCTAGAAGACATACCACCAGTGTTTCAAATACCAGCAGGGTCACCCATGGTGGACAGGTTTCAACAGAACCTCCAGACTAAACCAGACTAGGAAGAAAGACCTGGTGATCTACTTCCAAACAGGTAACAAGAGAATACTATCTGGCAACAACATGATTATTGTAGTTACTTCCTGTGAGGCGCAGCCTCGTGGTCTGAACCATACTTGGCCATCTTGGCAATCGAGAGCACTGGTCTGGGAGTCAAGCAACCAAGATCCCAGGACGGCTCCAACACCAATTTGCTGAGCAACCCGGGGCAACCCAACCCCTCCACGGGCCTGTTTCCCCATCTCAACTAGGAGGAGGGTGCAAGAGGTGAGCGTGGACACCTCTCCAATGCTATGATCCTGATTCAGGAGGGGTACTCACGTCAGCAGGTGGCTCAGAGCTGGCCAGCAGGTCCCCGTTGAAGGGCCGGTCCGAAGGCGGACTCCTATGAGAGAAGAGCGGAAATGCAGACCCAGAATGTCCCAAGACTCCCAAAGAACGGAAAAGAATGGAGGGCTGGTCCTAGAGCCTCCCTGAGGAACTTTAATAGCATCCAAAGGTTAACACCCCAGGCACAAAGAAAATGCCCCCAGAAGATCGTTAGTGCCAACTGCCTGCCAGCCCAAAAGAGGTTAAGCTTACCAGTTCCTTTGGAGAAAGGATCCTGTACATCCAGACCCCTGAGTGGTTCTCAAAACAACAACTCCTTCCCCTGACCCCTAAGGGGTTAAGGCCCTCCCCCAGCCAGGGAGTGTGCAGCTGGTCCCGGCTGCCCTGCCAATACTTCTGGAAGGATTGCAGGGGGAGGAAAAGGGGGAGAGAGTGATTTTCCAAGGCTGAGGCTGTGCCTCTTAAGCCCTGCTTGGAGCAAGAAAGGGAAGGAGGAAGGAGGGTGGAACCCAATCTGAGCCACGTGACCTCATGGTCGCCCAGGTCTGGGACACAGGAAGGGTTAACTCCAGGGCCCTCCTCCAGGTACTTTCAGGTGAGAGAAGGGCAAGGCTGGTGGGCAGGGCAGGGCAGGGGCCCCAGACCACAGCAGCCCTACCCTTCCCAGGGGCAGGAGGGGGAAGGGAGCCCGTGGGCCCAACAGGGCTGCCCAAGGGGACAGCTGTGCCTCCAGCTGGCTCTCCCTCGCCCCAAGGAAGACTTCCTCCATGCAGCCCGAGATCCCCCAGCCTTTTCCTCCACTGCACTGTGCCCACCACCCCAAGAGGCACCCACTGGCCAACTCCGGAGAAGTGTGTTAAATGCCACAGTCTCCAGCCCAACAGCCCCACCACAGTCTGTGCCTTCACGCTCCCTGGTATGTGCGTGTCTTATCTCTGCCATCAGACTCCTCCTCTGGCACAGCCTGTGCCCTGCTCATCTGCCGCTCCTCCCACCCCTGGCACACTGCTCTGCCCACAGCACAGATTGCAGAATCAAGCAGACCCGAATACAAACCCCAGCTCTGCCTCTTAACTTGCTGAGCGACTGTGGGAAGTCATTTCCGAGCCTCAGTCTTCTCTTCTCTAAAATGGGTCTAAGAGACCTTTCACCCAACAGGATGGCTTTGGATTAAGAGGCCAAGTTTGGAAAATACTATCTTGGGGACCCAGCTCTCAACATATAGAAACTGAAAGTAAATTTCTACACTAGACATATGACTGCTGTACTACAAACACGCAACAGCTCGGTAAGCAGGGGAGAAATCAATTAGTGACACTTAAGACCAGGGTGTGCCTGCACTACCAGCATTCAACTCGCCTAAAGGTGCCGGTGACAGTCCCAGAGGGGGCCGCCCATGGCATCCTCAGCCCCTTCATCTCCAGGCTTCAACAAAACTAGGGTTCTCCCAGCCCTCACCTCTCCGGGGGGGTCCTGCTGTGCTCTTGCCGGCTCTCTGCTGGAGACTTCACAGGCCCCTCCTGGCACCATGCCCTCGAGAGGGTCACACCATCCTCATCCCTGGGGCTGGTGGCCACACCATAGGTCCTGGGGCCATAACGTGAACTGCCGTCATGGTTGAAGGTGAGGCGGGAGCCCCAGAGGCGGTCAGGGCTGGCAGGGACCTCCTTCCGAGTCTGTTCCATCTTGGCCAGGATCTCTTCCACTGTGGTGGCCGCAAAGCGCTCTGAGGCTGGGCGGAAGGGGGCTGGGGCCTTCCGCACGCCACCCAGGGCAGCACATCTCGCCGGAGGGGTCAAGGGGGGCACCTCCTCTTTGCCAGCCTCCTCCTTGCCCGTCTCTGGAGCAGTTTCTCCGCCATCAGGGACCTCAGCAGGAGGCCTTGGTGCAAAGGGGAGGGGACGCTTGCTGCCACCATAGGGCTGGGGTCCTGCCAGCATGTTCATCTTCCGAGCAGAAGGTAGCTCGGCCAGGGGACCCCGAGGGGGCCGAGGCCCTACAGGCACCAGCAGGCTGGGCTTGGCAGGCAGCGCGGGCTTGGTAGGCAGGGCCCGGGGTTTGGGCTTGACCGGGGGTTTGGAACGAGGGTCACCTATCAAAAGGAAAGGATTGGGGGGAGAGGGGGACAGCTGTCAGAAGAGCCAGAAAGCAGAACTTCTTGTGTATCCTGTTCCACCTCATCTCCTACCCTCCAGGTCTCAGAATGTCTGAGTCCTACAAGGCCAGAAGTCAAATGCCACCTCCTTCCTGACGCTTCCCTTAACTTCCCACACACATCCCAGAAGCACCTTCTCCCTTCTCCAAGCTCCCAAAACGTTGAGGCAAATCCCCCTCATATAAGTTACAGCTATTGAAGGGCCCCCCAAAACAAAACTAGACCCACTGCTATCAAGTCGATTTTGACTCACAGCAACCCCCACTGGGTTTCCGAGGCAGTATCTTTACAGAAATAGATTGCCCCATCGTCCCTCTGTGGAGTGGCTGGTGGGTTTGAACCACCAACCTTCTGGTTAGCAGTCAAATGCCTTAGACACTGCACCACCAAAGCTCCTTGCCCCCCTTGACCCCTCTGGCGAGATGTGCTTATTTAAAGGGCCCGGCTGGCACCTTATTTCTCCTTCTACCCTTTTTTGGTAGCTAGCACAAGCTCTTATCAGGAAAAAGCAAAAATGAATGAATGAATAGGCAAATGAGTTCACAGATAAAGGCCAGCCTGCTCCTATCACGCAATTGGCCCACTATCTCCCAGTCTAGTCTCTTCCCCTTCAATGACAGGACACTCTGCTCTAACCCCAACTGGGCTTCTGGACCTGCCTCCTTACTGCTCCCTCCCCTAGGGCACTCCCAGGCCACCTCCCTAATGTCATCTGGTGTATGATCTGATTGGGAATGCAAATTTACTATTGACCTAAACCAAACAAAAGAAAAAGAAGCAAGACCAAAAACCTACCTTCTATATAAGGCATTCCAATGCCTAGGACAAGACCTTGGAATTACTCATGGCCACCTCCCTTCTAAGAGAATACCACATCACCCTCATTCAGCCCAGTGAAAGAAAGGAAACTAGACAGGAAGCCAGAAGGCCTGGGTTCAAAGCCCATAACTCCCTTCTGGGCCTCAGTTTACCCTCTGTAAAGCATGCAGCTTGATAAACACCATCTTGAAGGGCCCTGTCTGCTCGTACCTGCTGGGGCTCTTAGAATTTCAATCTGTCCCAGATGGTCTCAACAGCCTCTTCCAAAGGGGCTGGGACCCTTTCAAAGCCATCTGCACTTCCTCACTCCCACCTCACCAGAACCACTGTTGGCCCACCTCCACTAAGAGAATGAGGGTACAGTCTCTGCCCCTCTAAGCCTCCTCCCCAGCTACTCGCCCCATCCTGCACCCATGGGTACCTGGCTCGGAGCCAGCGGGCACCAGCTCCTCCTCCTTCTCCCGGGGCAGCAGGGAAGCCATGGCCGTGCCTTCCCTGAGAGTGGAAACTTTCATCGTATGCGGCAGACCCTGCGAGAGAACCGGGGAGCAGAGGGGTGTGAGCTGCTGCAACTGAAGACCCAGGAAAAGAGAGAAAGGGAAGAGAAGGAAAAAGGGGGCGCTGGCAGCAGGCTCGGCCAAGGGACGTCTCTACTTGCAGCAGAAAGCAGAGTGAGTGGGACAGAAGAGAACTTCCAGGGGGGCTGGGGCAGGTCAAAGGAGGACCCCAGCAGCCCGGTCCTCCACCATTCCCAGCTCACTCTCCAACTCTTGCCTCCCAACCCAAGTCCTGAGCTTCAGGGAGCCACCCACTGCTCCCTCCTCTGGCAAGCTCTCCAACTCACCTCACTTACCGTTCCCAAGGAGTCCCTTGGGTCCAGTGGCCCCGCTGGAGTTACCTATTCGGGGTAAAGCAAGGAGGGCCGCCAAGTCTAAAGTCTCTCCATGAACCACCTCATGGGAGACGGGAAAAACCCGCTCCTCCCCAACCTGGGGTTCCGCCCCACGGCCCGCCTCCCCCTTCCCCCGCTCACTCTCCTTCCCCCCCCCCTCCTCCAGCAGGGAGTGGTTCCCTCTCCCCCAGCCAACCACCCCCCCACATCCCTGCCCCACTCCCGCCTCCCTCCGTGCTGTCTCATCCAAACACGGAAAAATGAGGAATAAAAAGTAAACATCTGGAATACATTTTTTTTTCTTTAATTTCTCAATCGCTTTGGCTTCAGCTTAGAATTTGATGAGGTAAAGCCAGGGCCTAGTCCTGTTGCCATAGCAATGGCCTCCCACTGGATTTCCAGAGCCTTGCCAAGAGGAAGGAGGAGCCGGCCCAGGCCTGGGCTGGGAGAATGGGACAGGGCTTGAGAACATCCGGGGGGTGGAGTGGCTTGGGGGAAAAACTCCCTGGGGTTCCCCCTTCTAGAGCAGCCAACGAGTGACAGCCACAGCCTATGAAAAAGGGGGATATGTGGGCATCAGTCACCAGCCCAGGTTTGGCGGACAGGGATTTGGTGGGGAGAGGAGAAGGAAAAACATTAATCCAGGAGACACAGTCCATGGCAGAACCCAAATGGGTATCCCCTCCTCCATGTCAGGAACAGGAGAACCAGGATTCAAGTGTGGGGTGGATCTACCACTTTGTGGCTGTGTGATCTTGGGCCGACTGCTTGCTTCTCTAAGCCTCAGTTTCCCTATCTGAAAAATAGGGCTATAAAGGCTACCGGGGGCTTAAGCAAGATATTCTTTACCCACTGCTACTGAGTCGATTCCAACGCCTAGCAAAGCTAGGGCCAAGCAGAACAGCTTCATAAGGTTTCCAAGGCTGTAGCCTTTAAAACTGCCACATCCTCTGGGAGCGGCTGGTGAGTTCAAACCACTGACCTACAGGTCACTGGGCCACCAAGGCGCCTTTCATGCATGCACACTACTTAGCACAAGGACCAGCATAAAACACCAAAACCAAAACCAAACTCACTGCCATCGAGGATTCTGACTCATAACGACCCCCTTTGGGTTTCCCAGGCAAGTAAATCTTTACAGTAGATTGCCCAGTCCGCCTTTCGCGGAGTGGCTGGTGGGCTTGAACCGCCAACCTTCTGGTTAGCAGTCAAGTGCCTTAGGCACTATGCCACCAGCATAAAATAAGTGCCCAGTAAATGTTGGTTAACTATTACTCTATTCTCAATGTCACCAACGAGCAAACATCTCTGGTAACCACCTCCTCCTCTCCCTAGACCCCAGGCTGTCAGCATTCCCAGACCATTTCTTCATTCTCACATGCCGTGCTCAAGTCACCTGCACTTGACACTCCACCACCTCTTCAGTTCAGTTCCCATCCTGGCTCCTGAAGTACCATCTCACCCACAAGACCTCCGGGGCACTCCAGCCTGGGGGACTGTATCCTGCCCCCTGAGATCAAAGGAAGGGGACTGTCTCCTATCACCTCAATGCACAGGAGAGCAACCCAACCCTCTCCAACCTACAAGAAGCACCACCTCCCTCCCTCACACACACTCCAGCTGGTCTGAGAAGACAGCACCAACCCCTAAAAAGAGGCCTTAGGTGCCCAACCTATGCAAAACCCATCCCACCCACCTCTGACCCTGCTCCGCTGTTTCAAACACGGGAGAGGATGTGTGAAGGGTACAGAGAAACCGAGGACTATCGAACTGGTCAACCAGCCAGCCAGCAACCGCTCAGGACTGCTCACTGTGGGTGGGAGAAACACTGAGCAGGGCCTCTTCCAAGTGTGCATGGGGGAGGAGCCACATGATTGTAAAAATAAAATTTAAAAACACGAGATGTTTCCTTGTCCTTGAGCATTATTTCAAGGGACATGGTGTAGGTGGTTAGAAATGGGGACAAATTGGCCCAGGCCCGAAAAACCTTCCACCTGGGGGCCTAATGGGCACCTCTGGGGTGTAAGGGGCTGCCACAGAAAGTAGTCATGAACGTGGGGTCCTGGATTCCCCAACTGGGGAGGGGACCACAGTAGCTCAGAAGCCCCAGCCTGGAGCCCCTGGTGACCAGACTATAGCCAGAAGCTGCAGAATCGCAGCGGCTCGCACCACTCCCCAACCCCAGGAGTCCAGGAGAGCCGAGCTGACTGACCCCTGGGAGCAAAGGCCGCCAGAAAGGCTAGGGAGGTGTTGGGCGGCTCGAGCCCGGGGCAGGGTCCTGGTGGGTCCTGGGGTAGACAGGATGGTCCCTATGGCCCTTAGGATCTCTGGCCAGAGAGGTCGGCCCGGACAGCGCGTAAACTGCTGGAGGAGGGAGGAGGACGGAACAGCCCGGGGCGAGGGGCCGTCTGGAGGGGCCCAGTGGGGAGTTCTGGACACAGAGGGGGCGGCGGGAGCCGAAGAGGAGGAGGAGGAGGAGGCACAGCGGAGGACCTGTGCGCGGGATGCGAAGCTGCCGGCGAACAGACGGGGAGTAGGGAAGAGGACCGGGTGGGGGCGGCACAGGGCGGCTGGGGGCGTGCCGAAGGGGCCAGGGGAGGAGGCCGGCGCGGTCCAGGGGAAGGGAGGCGGGGGTCGCCCAGCACTCGGCCCGCCCCAGGCCCTTGCCCTCCCCTTTCTTCTGGCTCCGCGAGCACGACCTCCATGCCGTGCAACCTTCGCCCCTGCGCCCACGCGGCCCCAGCCCCAGCAAACTTTCCCGGAGACCCCCACTTCACCTAACCCCGAGGTCTCGATTGCAAAGCGCCCACTTCTCCCATGCCCCTCCCCCGTCCCGGACCCCGCCCCCTCCCGCCTGCACCCCGCTCACTCACGCGCTCCCCGGGGATCTGGCTCTGCTCCACTCGGCGCCCCGACGCCAGTCCCGGCCGCCGCCGCCGCCGCCACCGCCGGCCCCAGCAGCGCGAGCCCTGCCGGGGCCCCGCCTCTAGCTCCGCCTGTGACCCCGCCCCCAGGGCGCCTCATGAACATTCATGAACCGGTGCAACGTGGGGTGTGGTGAGCGTACACGGAACTCTCCCGACCATATGCAAACAGCGCAGCCCAGTACTCAATTATTCATGAGTCTTGCAAATGAGGGGCCCGCCCCAGCTCGGACCCCGATGAAACTGACGCAATTCGGTAGTTCCGAGCACTTGGGCAAAATTGCCACCAAGACGATCGCCTAGAGAGGAGATTGCCTTAGGACAGCCCAATACTCGTCCCAAGCGCCTAAACTGAAGGCCGAACCATAGAGTCACCGCTAGAAAGAAGGGAGCCGTTGGCGGACCGGAGAAGCTTCCTGTTGCCAGCCCCCCCTCTCCCAAGTCCTCCAGAGCACGTAGGCAGCGTGGCCACCTCACGTGTGTAAATTCAGATTTAGAGCCACAGGGAGGCAGACAAGGAGCTCTTGTGGCACAGTGGTTATGCGCTGCGCTGCAACCTAAACGTCGGTGGTTCTAATCATTAGCTGCTCCACGGGAGAAAGATGAGGCAATTGGCTCCCATAAAGATTTACAGCTTTGGAAACCGTGTGGGGCAGTTCTACTCAGTGCTTTCAGGTTGCTGAGTCGGAATGGACGTCACTGCAGCTAGTTTGGTTTTGGAAGCTGGCAGCACTGCTTTCCACCCTCATTACGTGCACACCACCCACTACCTGACTCGTCCTCTCCAATTCTCCAGGCTCAAGTTTCCACTCCCCTAATTGCAGGGAGGCTGGTCAATTCAATTATCTAAAGCCTGATTCAATTATCAAAAGCCTTGGAAGACCCTTGACTCATAGGTGATTGAGGATGGAGCCGGAAGCTGCTGCCTGTTTGCCAGGCTAATGGAGTGGAACTGTGAGAGAGACTTCCTAATCAGATCAACTCTCATTTCCACACTCTCAGGTGGCCTAGCTTGGCAGAAGAGGGTGAAAACCAATGCTTGTCCCGCCAGGAAAGGAACAGGATGTACCTGGAGACCTGCTTCCTGGCTAGCAGCAGGGCCCTGCCCAGCCAGAGCAATGTGGTAGGCGACACCAGAAAAGCAGGGGGCATGCAACAGGGCTACAGAGACAGCAGAGGACGTGGTTTCCAAAGTCAGTTCCCTTTATTAAATGATTTTCACAGACCAGAAATACAAAAACAAAACCAAAAAAAAGGTAGAAACAGGCCCCCGTTAGGACCTACAGGCCTGACCTCACATGCCCCTACTGCAGCAACTTGAGCAGGTCAAGCAGCAGCACACGGACAAGGTCAGGAAAGCAAGACTGCCTCCTGCACTGCCCTGCCTCCCACCCAGTCTCTCCCCAAATCACAAAGCGCCATCTTGTGAAGCAGCAGAGAGGAAGCCGCCTCCCTAGCCGCCCCAATGAAGTGCATACCAGCCAGACAGCTTGGACAGACGGCCCAGAATCCAAGGGCTCCTTTTCATATGAGGAGAAACTGGTACTGAACCACGTGTGGGGAGAATGGGGGTGTGACTGGGCGAGCAGGGAGAGAGAATTTCCTGCTCTCTACTCATCCGATCCCGACGCTGAATCCTCTGAGCTGGGGGGAGTACTGGCTAGTTCCTCTTCTTCCGAGTCCTGAAAACAAAAGGTCTCTTCAGAGGAATGACCTGGATGCCCTCCCAGCCATTTTTCAGTGGTGAAGGGCCCCCAATTCCCTACCCGCTCAGTACAATGCCAGTACCCACCTTCAGAACCTCAGAATTCCGCCAAGCCACT